TTTTTATCAATTGGGACTAATCATACTTTCTTACAGGACTGTAAATATTCCCCTGTGCCTCCCAAAAAGGGCCTCATTACAACGCTGGATCTTCAAGTTCCCACCGGGAAGTAACATGTGGCACTTCCATTCACATGTCACTGACCAACGCAAGCTGTGTGCCCACAGCTAACTCCAGGGATCCTTGTCTACATCTGCAGTGAGGGCCATATCCATCCCAGGGACACCTCCATGACCGCCACGCTCACTTAAAGTAAATGTATACTGTTAGAAAGATTTGAAAATCTTTTTAGTTTTAATAAAATATAGCTATATGGCCTTAGCATTGCTACTTTTTGAGTACCAGTGCCCCTTCCAGTGCGACCTAGGGGAGGCACAACGAACACTCTTCTCTCAGTGGAGCAGCGCTTACATCTGCCCAAAGGGATTTCGAAATTGCGATGCACCAATGACTGCTGTATTTCTCTCATTCTTCCTGCTGCTGAGTGGAAGTGGTTTTATGGTTCTTCTTCTTAGGTCCACTGCTGGGTAGTATGTGTGTATTGAGGGGAATGCGGGCTGTGGGGGAAACTAACTCTACTATTAGATCCAGGCCACATCTAGACCTGATAGCAAGCTTATGCATTTCACCTTGAAGAAGAGATCACGGACCACTGGGAATCACCCAAAGAGACCTGGGCCATTGAGCTTGTGGTGGTATCAGATGGGAATTTTAGGGATCCCAGTTAAGGCAGGGAAAGGGGATGACCCGGTGGGCACATTTGTTGTGTTGATCATTGCTGTGCACCAAGTACCTTTAGTTCTTCTTCTTGATATCACTGTAGACTTCACTCCCTTGCCAGGCTAGAGCTAGGGGTGGCCATCTGATTCGCTTTGGCTAATGTGGACTAAATGATCGGCACCCATATCAGGTGGGCCTTTTAAGAGCAGGCGCTAAGTTTTCCATGTTTCCTCTGCCCTCCATCTTAGTACCCAGAACTGAGGTTGCTCTGCCTGCTTGGATCACAGACAGGGCAGAACTGAGCCACCAGAGGTTTGCTTTAAATGACTGTGGTAGTTACATAATCTGGTATCCACTTGAGGATTCCGAGAGAAGGGGTGGAGCCTAGCCTGTCAATCACGCAATAGCTTGATGACCTCATTTGGAGGTGCTAAGGAGATAAGTAGCTCACAGCTGGCTGGATACATGCTCACTCCCTGGGAGACATCCCTGTGGAGAAGACACATGGAGAGAGGCTGATGGTGCCAGACCCCTGGAGTCAGAGAAGCCATGTGGAGACCCCTGCCAGAACTTACAACACCACTGGATCCACAAGACTTCCCACCCACTGGCCTGTGATGTTCCTGCATTCGGCATCGTTGCATGTGTTTCATGAGTCTGAAGAGGACGTTATAGATTGGTATCACACATATGGGTTAATATCAGACTATGGACTGAACGTGGATGTTTTCTCAATATTCAACTGCTCTTATATATAAAGCTCTTTCTTATATGCACATGAGTCTCCCTGGATTTGTTTCTCTAGTTTACCCAGACTAACACGGTGACTAAGAATTGGAGCTTATTTGTTTCTACAACATACCTTAGCCTAGTCTGACTGATGTGAAGACATCATCTTAATTCTTTATTAAATCACTTTGACGGGATGAACTTGCTGCCCAGAAGGCATGTAACTGGGCAGGCAGTGATTTAGTTGACATTTTGGAGACAGGGCAGCTTTCAGTTGTAGGCTGGGATTAAAAGCATCCAGATGTAGCCTCTGAGGGCTTCTACAGAGAAGAATCATGGTGACCTTCATGACAAAGACATGACGTGGGCCCTTTTATGGACACTGTTGGGTTCTTAGGTGATGGGAACAGTTTATACCCAATACGCCCAGCAGTACTGGGGGAGGAAAGGCCTGGGATTCTGATTTCTTTAAGATCACAGCCAAGAAAACTCTAGTTAGCAATTCTACTTAGACCAATTTTACTTAGCACATGGGGTTGCCATGAGTTGGAATTGACCCTAAGGAAACTTTCGACACATGGACGTTGTTAGGGGTTGAACTGTTTCTCCAAAAAACATGTCCTGGAATTTTAACCCCTATACTTGTGCATCTGAGGAGCCATGATGCACTAGTGTTGGTTTGATAACCTCCAGGTCAGTAGTTCGAACCCACGAGGTGCTCCCTGGGATGAACATGAGACTGTCTGTTTCTGTAAAGACTTATACACTTTGAAATCTTAGAGCAGGCATCCTCCAACTATGGCCCGCGGGCCACATGTGGCCCGCTGAGGACATTTATCCAGCCCACTGGGTGTTTTTGCCCCATTTGTTTTTTCACTTCAAAATAAGAGATGTGCAGCATGCACAGGAATTTGTTCATAGTTTTTTCAAACTATAGTCCGGCCCTCGAACGGGTCTGAGGGACAGTGAACTGGCCCCCTGTTTAAAAAGCTTGAGGACTCCTGCCTTAGAGAATAGCTCTACAATGTCTACAGGGTTACTGTGAGGTGAAATTGACTTGATGGCAGTGGATATACCTGTGTCTATCATCCCATTTGGGAATAGGGTTTTGTTATGCGAATGATACCATTTTAATATACAGTGTATCTTAAACACAGTCATGTTTGAGATCTGCTACAAGCAGAGTAGGTCCAGACAGGTGTGCAGACACCGAGGGATGACAGACGCTGGTGAGCAGATGAAGACACCGAGAGACGTCACAGCAGATGGAGCTAGAGGCCCAGGGACACCAAGGGACACTGGCTCCTAGGATTGAAACCAGACCAAGCAGGACCTTGCCCTGGATTTGGACTTCTGGCCTCCTAAACTGAGTAAGTCAAATTCTGTTCTTTGAAGGCACCTCCTTGTGGCATTTCTGCTGCAGCAGCGCCATGAAACGAAGACAGGCATTGTTCAAGCTGGAGTCCACATAGCCACAGGCTGGCTATGGTGCCTGGCTGGGCCATCTAGCCACACCAGAAAACCATCACTTTAGCACAGCTTTTCACTGGGTAACGATTCTGTGTACACTCTGAATCAGTGTGTCGCTATACTAATTAGCTCCATGAAGTCTTGCCAGTGATGTGGCCCCGGTTCCTGTTATCCCGGGGCAGTCTGAGATACCAGTGAAGCTATGACGACTAAGATCTGTGACCATGCTTGCATTGTTCACTATCATGTGACATGCAGCACACGCGACCACAGCTTAAAAACACTTGCCTCATCCAGGCTTTATTTCCTCCCAGGATTTTATCCCTAGTGGTCCCAGGACTGTATTATATAACATCCCCCTCCTTTTTTTTTCCTTTCCATATTGCCTTGCAAGTAATTCACTCTTTGTCCCAGCTCAGTCGATTTCCTGTATTCCTTAGGTCCACCTTTGTGGAAGCTGCCCCTCTACAGGCATGTTCTTATCCTGGAGCCACCTCCCTCCCCAACTCCCCGTGATAGATGCTCAAAAATCACACATTTTGGTAGTTCTCACAGACTCCGTCAGGATGCAGTAAAATTGGGTCATATTTCAAAGTACTCATCGGGTTCTTTGGGGAGCATTTCCTTCTACTCTGCTCTTCAAAGTTTCCCATTCCTTAATGCAGCAGAAACAAAGACTCGGATGAGAGACAGAAAGGCTGGAGAATGAACTTTCCTGTGTCTAAAGAGGAAATTCATTTAGGTCTGAGGGACTGCCAGGGAGGCAGGGGCAGGAGTGAAGAGGAGAACGTGGTGGGGAAGTAACACAGACACTCAGTCCTTCAAGATCTGGGAAAAGGCCGGAGATGAACCAACCTCACGTGCAGCCTCCATGGATTGACCCATGCCACTGTCCTTGGGCATTGGTCCCCTAAACAGAGGGAGAGGGCCTTGGCCCACTTGTATTGGAAACACAGAGGGAAAACTTTAGGTCCTGACCAAAGGGAGACTTCATATAGCCAACAAAGAATTTTGATGGAAGAGTCTACGTTCAACTTTTTCTCCACTAGCCCCAGTTTAGGGGCCCAGGGGCAGAAGAAGGTTCTGGAAAAAGAAAAGGTATTAGTCACTCTGAAGGAGCCATGAACCTGCTCCTACTGGTCTACAATCAAAGCCTGCTCTCATGTCAAGGGCTTTGTTGTCCCACCAGTTTAGGGTCTGTTCTAGGATATATATGTTTGCTCTACGTTATTAGTACTAGCTGTCCTCAAAGTGACTTGTAGTCATGAGGACCCCGTGTATGTCAGATAGGACAGTGTTTCCTTGGTTTTCAATAGCTAGTTTTTCAGATTGTTAGTCCTTTCTTCCAAGGTGCCACAAGGTGAATTAGAATCTTCCACCTTTTGGTTGACAGTTGGGTGGGTTAACCACTTGTACTGCCCAGAGACTCCACCTGTGGTAGTTACATAAGTTCATGTTAACTTCATAAATTCATGTATGTAGGGGTGGAGTGTAGCCTGTCAATCAGGTCCCAGTCTGATGATTTCTCCTTGTGGGCATGGCCTAATCATGAGGATTCTGGGAACTTCCTTTCTTTTTCTCTTGGGAGGTGGACCACAATCTCTGCTTCACCTTCCTGTTGACAAGTCACATGGAGCCATGCTAATGGCAGCCAGAGCCCTGGAGATGGGTCCACTGCCATTGGATCCACAAGACTTTGCACACACCGGCCTGTGATCTTCCTGAATTTCGCATCATTGCATAGACTCCCTGAGTCTGAAGAGTGATTTACGGACTAATATTCGACTTATGAACTAATGTCAGACTTACGAACTTGATCTGGACTGGGTTGGGATGTTTTCTTAATGTACAGTTACTCCCAGATATAAAGCTCTCATGTACACACATATGAGTATCTCTGGATTTGTTTCTCTAGTCAACCTGGACTGACATACCACCTTTTTAGTAAGGAATAGTAACTGTCCCTGGCTCATTGTCACACCACTTGCTTTTCTATACAAGTATTCTTCATAGAATGTGCATGGATGTGACAGTGTCCAGGTCAGGGTTTGAGACAGGGCCTTGTCTTAGAGTGTATTACCTTGCCAACAAGCGCCAACCGTCAGTTGCATGGCTATGTGAGATGGATGAATGGGCCAATCATTGGTCACCAGGTATGGTTCATATGTTGCTCCATCCATGTATAAGGTGACCACTGGAAACTCCACATTGATGGCATAGTAATGCCACTCCTTGTCACAAATCTAGTGGAGAAAAAGAGAAGAAACACTTAAAATTGAATGTGTGATGCAACATCAAACAATCTCTTATTTTATTCTCATTATAAAAGGGAGAGAAAGCCCTTGGGGTCAGCACATTGTGTTGCAGAGGACTCAATGAACACAGTGAGGGACAAGAGGGGACGTGAGAGAAGCTTCATCAGTATGGTGGGGTGAAGTATGGGGAGCGGGGGCACCCGAGAAGCCAATCACTGCCAAGTATTTCGTTCTGGCCAGATTGTCTTGGGTCCATAATTACCAACCCTTTTGGTTGACGAGTTCTTAGTGATTAGGTGGGATGTTAGCGTAAATTTGCTCTTTACTGAACTTTGCTTAGTTTCTTGGTAGACAAAAGAGTTGAATTGCACATGTTTTTCTAATTTTTGGAGTAGATGAAGCTGTAAAACCAAAGGTGTTAACTTGACAAGAGAAATAAACTTGAGATGGAGTGGGGGATGAAAATGGAAGAAGAGAAAATTGGGGTTAGGGACTGGTAAAAGAGAAGCCAATGCCCACAGGAGGAGAAGAAGGGGAAACGCAGAGAAACAGGCGCCGATAGGTCCTTTGTCTCCATTTTAAGACTTGCTAGAAAAGCTGGTGTAAACCCACATCCCCTTCATGGATTTTGAGGAGGTCGTTTTCCCAGCACCTGGTCCTTGGTGTTGCCATGGTCATGTGATGGGCTGCTAACTACAAGGTCAGCAGTTTGAAACTACCAGCTGCTCCTCAGGAAAAAGAGGAGGCTTTCTACTCCCATAAAGAATTATGGTCTTGGAAACCCACAGGGGCAGTTCTACCCTGTTCTATAGGGTCAATAACAGTGAGTTTGAGTGGTTTTGTGGTGTCTTCCTGGAGGGACTGAGCTTTGTACTTCCCCAGTTCCTGGTCCCACACCTGGAGAGGTCGGGAAGGACCACACATGGGTTCCCTGCACCTGAACTCTATGCAGAGCACTATAATAAGGGGCTTCTTTTACAATCATATGCACCAAAGGTGTGTGGTCTTAAGGTTCGGAACCAAAGGCAACGCTTAATGGGTTGGAGCTACAATTTTGATCTCAGGGATTGAACTCATAAAGAATTTTCCAAAGTAAGAACCAAGCCTGTCAGGCATGTCAGGGAGTATGCAAGTATAAAAGGTGACAAGAGTGGAGAAGAGTTTCACCCGCTCTCCACTCCCCTGGCACCCCAAGCAGGTGCCTGGGAGCCCCACTAGATTCTCTGGCCTTCACCTTTCCTCCCCCTCTGTCCCCTCCACACCCTGTGCCGGCCACTTTGGAGATGCCTCTCACATGCATCCTTGACTCCATCATCCCTTCCATTTGTGACTGGGGAGACAGATGAGTTCTGCATGAAGGTGACCCCAAGGTGAGGACGTCAAAGTCCTCCCTCCCTCCCACTCTGGATTAACTGTGCTGTTTCTCATGAATAGATAACACTAACAGGGATGCTAAATGATCTTTCTCCTTTCATTTTGGAATATGAATTTTTCCCCTTAATGTTCTTTTTATACTCTCCTGTCTCATGTCTCAGAAAATTGCTCCTTTTGAAGCCCATTAGCCTGATAAAGCCTGATGAATATTTTAGGGGACCCTGGAAAGCAAGCAGGAGGTCCACGCAGGTCACCCTCAGTGAGATGGACTGAGTAGTTTACACTCCCTTCCTGTAGTCACCTGGGGGCAGGTCTCTGGGGCCGGGTCTATGATGGGGTGGACTGACTTAGTAATAGGGGTGACACAACGGAAGACTTTGAAGACAGTCTAGGGGGTTGGAAAGATAGGGAGCTAATGAGAGCATTTGAAGGAAGCGGTCAATCCAAGGAGACCCTGTGCTCATTGAACTTGGAGTTTTCAATTAAGCACAGTCAGGCAGCAGAGGAATCCTGGGATATGGCTCATGGGACAGACCCTGGGGGTGTTCCGGGTGCCATCTTCAAACCTTTGGTCAGGCCCAGTGTGGGGAGGGTGCTGGTTGGGAGGCAGTCAGTGACAGGGTGGCAATGAGTGGCACCAAAAGCCAAGCCCACACACTAGGGAGCATTCTGGTCCCAGTCACCACGCCCAAATCAGCCCTTCTCTCGGGCATCCCTGGCACATAGCCTTAGCCGACTCCACCTTACAGCCCTCTGAGCCTGCTCCAACTGGATGGAGAGGAGCCTCTGGGTAACGCAGAAGGTTAACTACTCACCTACTAACTGAGAGGCTGGTGGTTCAAACCCACCCACCAGTTTCCTCAGAAGAAAAGCCCACTGATCACTTTCCAAAGGTCGCCGATTTGAACACCCCACAGGCGACACTTCTGTCCTGCACA